TATCGCGTCTCCGTCACGCGTTCACATGTTGCACCTGTTACGTAAGATCGTGGGGCTCGCAAGCTGCCCACCCTTGTCGCCTTCACCTGTTTTTCTCCCCCCTCTCTCTTCTTTCTGTTTCACTTCACGGCGATCAAATATGAAGGTGGATCACGCGTGATCGGGTGCCCTGGTAAATCCGTATCTGTGAAAACTATCATTGGTGACAACATATTCGGGTAATTTAACATTGCAATAAATGAATCGATGAACATGAACAGTCAGGGGTGATCCGGGAAACAGTGTTGGGGAGTTTTTACCTACCTCCGGCGGCCGCGATCGATTCGTTCGCGGACGTTACGTAAGGAGAGAAAAAAGAAAACAGCGTGCGCCGGCACACTGTAATTTTTTACCCTTACCCGTGTATATTACCCCTGGCCCCCTGTTGCGTGTCTGTTGTGTTGTGTGTGCAAAACCGCAGAAGTGAGAGGAGCTCTTGCAGCTTACGCGGCAGAAAATTACACGTCGCGGCTGCTACGGGCTTTGAAGGCTGTTTACCCGACTGCATATTTGCCCCCTGTCGTCTACGGGGTGACTGTGAACTGTAGTTAGGCTTGGAGTTCGGGTCCGCGTCGGGACAATAACCTTATAGGGAGAAATGCTTCGGACCCTCGTAAATTCGTTGTTTGCCCGAAGCCCGAGTATCTGCAACAAAAGCGGAAGGGCAACAAGCTATGCGCTTGACAGGTTCCAGAGCCTCCCTCCTTCCTCAGTGGTGGGGATAACACCTGGACAATAATCATGTAGAACAAGTCAGACGATAATCGAGAGGACTCTGTACCACGGTCGTTTGTACAGGTGCAGAAACTCCCGTGGAGGGGGGATCCCTTAAAATAGTCAGGTGTGCTTTCAAAATTTGTCGCGAAGCAATAATAAGCGAAAAATAATTAACACATGCGTCACATCATATAAAAGTTTTATATCCCTGTGGCGCATGTGCCATTTCTTACTTTTAAAACATCTTAGTCTAAGTGCATACGACCGTGCATTAAACTAATTAACTAATAATGAATTAATAATTATTAAATTGTAATTAATAATTAATAGTCACTATTTAATCAACCTTTATTATTTTTTTTTTAATATAACACAAAAGTTGGACTATCTCCATGTGCTTCCGCAAAAGAACACGAAAGTTTTAAGACGTTTTTAACTTTTACTGTCATGACAATGACATAGGTATACATATACAACACGATAGTAACGCTGAGTGACTAGCGGGAGATTCACGAAACTTTCTGCTTCGCTAAAAGGGATTTGAACTTCGCGTTTCAATGAGAGCGACATTAGCGATATGACGCGTCTCCGGCCGTCGAAACATTGGCGGCAAAAAGGAGGCCTCGATCGGCTTCGTGGAAGAATTCCGCCCGCGTTTATTGCAAAATCGTTTCCTACCGCACCCCCGCGATTAATTCGCTGGTCACACCCTCACCCCCTCACCCCCCTCTGTCTCTTGACGAATCGGCCGATTTCCACGGGATCGCTCGGACCAATTACCACGCCTATGGGCGAACGTGGAAATTTGTAATTAAGCAACCGGTAAATAACACAAAATAGACGCCTCCTCGCTGTCGGGCGCGTCCGCGCCACTGTAAACATTATAAATAGCGCGAAACGTCCACCCTCGGCCTTTGCGATTTACCTTGGAAGAGAAGAGACGGCGGAGGACGTATAAACGTGTAGGGGGTGGTTGGGGGACCAGTTCACCGATACGTGAACACGCACTACGTACGGTCCGAGTAAATGGAACCCTGTGGTCATTGAAGGGAAGTAGCTTCGCCTTTTTGCATAATAGACCGTGGGATCGATGTACACATGAAATTTCGTGGACAGACACACAGAGAACTCTAAATGGTAGCGCAAAATTACGCTTTATACCGATTATTTTAGATTAGAAGCTTCCCCCCATTATCGCGTCGAATACCGAAATGTTTACCCGTCGCGACTGAACTGGCCCCACTCCTTCGGTCATCTTAAGAATCATTGGAGATTCTTTCAAGATTTACAATAGTAATGTCTTTCTACAGAAGGAAACTGCTTTCAGTACATTCGTAATGAAACCGGACAAAATGTTAGGTTCTGAACTTCGTTTCAATTTTCGACCGAAGACACACCTAACCTTGCAGAAGTTGCCGAAGATTGGAAGAAAAATATCCAATGTAAGGAAAAGTAACGTGATAAATGATAATATTTCATTAGATAACGAGTAGTAAAACCGAGTACAAATATGTTTATTACGTGAACAGCATGATTCGAACGATTTCGTTGACGGTAACGGGGCAGTTCCGTCGTCGAGAACGCTTATAACTTTGTTTCAGCGGCTGGGTAAGGTTTCCACGAAAAACGAGCTTTATTTTCCGATGTTCTCGTTCCGGGGCCACCTTAATCGACGTGAACGACACGACGTCGTCGTCGAGATTTTTTAGTCCGCGTGGTGTGTATCCTCCGTAACACGTATTCTCATCGAGCATCTTTTATAACCTGACCTCGATATACTTTGAATCAATCATTGTGTATCGCGTGCATGTAAACGTACTTAAAAAAACTGCGATCACTTGCGGGGGCCAGCCGCTACTCCGCGCGTGCGCCGAAGATCCTCGAATCGACGCATTAAAAATATTCATTTACAGTAGACATTCGTTAAATGGAGTTCGTTTCATTGTATATTGGTAACGCCTCTCACCCATACGTATTTTGTACACACGTGCGCATACCCCACTCTGTTGCCCAGCAAGGAAGGAACGCAATACATACGGTGTCGCGTTTGACTCGCATATTTTTCATCACAGAAAGTGCGGTTGTATGTGATATTGTTTTAGTAAAATGTTTCAATATTGAATAACTCTTGTGGATAAACTTTTTTGATATCTCTAAAAATAACTGAGACTGTACATAGCTACGTCTCTCAAGTGAACGGACCGTTGGTGGGGAAAGCACGCGGGTGATTCGAGTTCGTTTATTTCACAATTCCTGGATTTCGGCCCCTTACACTCTACAGCCCTGAAATATGCAATAAACGAATGTCCTACTGTAAACGGTGTGTGTAACGTGGTTGATAACCGAACTTGCCGGCCGTATCGTCCGAAGAGACATTTCACTGTGAAAATCATAGATGGCTTCGTGTAGTCGATCGGTAAGCAGAGCACTCGACTAGTCTCGACACATTGAGATCGATCACGCATGCTTTCATCGTGTTTCGAGTCTGTTGAATGATTTGCTGTTGATAGTGAACTTCAAAGGACAGTTGTACGTCATGGTTGTGTGGGTATCTGGTACGTCAACAGTACAACGTTACCTCTCAATAAACGTTCTTATTGGAACCTGGCCATGCATTTATAGAGAGCATTGGTTGTGCGGTTTTCCATGAAAATCTCAAAAGTAGAATTTACGATCGATACAGCTTCACAAGTAACTGTACCATAGATCACTAGAATGTTCAATGATCGCATTAAAATTGTATGTCGAATTCATATGTCGAAAGTTCATTTTGTTTAGAATTTAGAACATCACACGTGCCATCAATGTCTCCTGCTAGGACGATTAGAACGAGGCCAATAGAGCGTGATTATAGGGTGAGAATACTGTCGACTCCTCGAATCTTGCGTGTTGGATCGATTGGATCGATCCACGAGTATACAGTATTGAACCCGGTCCCATCGCTAATTACGAGGCTGGCTTTTGTGTATCGATTCGTCGCCATAAAAGTCCTCAGACGTACACCTTTGTTCGCCGATCATTAACATCCTTTTCGGAACAAAGAGACCCCGGTGAACGAAAGGGGGGTTGGGGAGATGCTGTCTCTTCCGCCTGGCGGAATCACGGTTAGTTTGTAATTGCTCCACACGTCACTGTCGTTACGTTCACTCGCTCGAGCATCGTGCATATGCTTGTTCGCGTGACACAGTGTATGCATCCGTCGTATGCGTACTCTTTCCTTCGTCAGACGTTATCGACGGTTTCTGTTGTCGTTTAGCACACGCCTTTAGGCGGTTACCAACGCCTAACATGATTCACAGCAACCGTGATCGGATTCAATTGTTCGACTATTCTCGGAGATTTTTCGATTTTATTACTTATAATTTGATTGCGAGTATCGGTATCGATAATATCCATATTTCATTTCATAATTCAAATGTATCGCCATCACAAACTCGTAGGATCAATTGTAATATTCGGTCAGTGTATATGTATACTGGAATATTTAGGATTTGTTCGCGAGTGGTGGGCTTAATTTAAACGTCAGGATGAAATTCTTAGACGCTACCTATTCGAACACAACATTTTCCGATTCAACGGACAAGTAAGTAATCCGGAAGTGGTTACTCGTTCAGTCGACACCCCTTCCTTGCGTAATTAACTAGGCGATCGCACGACAATTAATTCATTACAGGAAGCCACCACTACATTGCGGTAATCGATGATGAATGGTTTCGAGAAAAATGCCCAACTAAACACCGGCATTGCATAAGAATGCAGGTCGCCTGTTGTGTGAGATAATACCGCATTCCTGGTTGTTCTCCATAAGGTCCGAGGAATTTAACGAATAAAGGTAGAAAACCGAGCGTTTTCGAACGACGGTAGAGTGAGCTCTCCGTCTTCCTCTCTCGATTAGGGGAGGCACCATAACTCGTCTAAATTAAACCTTTAGAATTTTTTGTTCTATTTAATAATCTAGGGGCTAGATGGGTCCGAGCAAATCGTTTGTTTAATTTATTATAATTTTTTTCTTAGTAATTGAACGACAGAATTTCGATCCACATCCAAATTCGAGATCAGCTTAAAATCGATCCTTTGACGATTTTTATCTTTCGACACGATAAAGTTGTTAGGGGAACCGGAAATCGATAATGAGGCAGGTTATCCTCGAGATGATACAGCGCGGACACATCTCTACTTTTTTTTCCTACTCAACTGTTGTCGATGAAGAATACGCATAAATTATTTATTCGTTTTTATTACAGATATACCAGACATTCCTGAGAACATCAAGAATTTACGGGCACTTCAGGTGGCGGACTTTAGTAGCAATCCAATTCCAAGGTTCATGAATTCTTCTATTTTATTCGCTTGTCGCGTACTTTGTCCATAGTTTTCGATCGAAAAATTGACGTTTCATTTATTGTTACAGGCTTCCGGCAGGTTTCGTGCAGTTAAGGAGTTTAACCGTTCTAGGGCTTAATGATATGTCTCTCACGAATCTACCTCCTGATTTCGGAAGGTAAACGACGCTTTAGTTACGCTGAAATTGTTGTTAATCGAAAGCCCATTCGTGTTCGGCGCGCTGATGACGAGTTCTTCTTCACGGTTCTGTTTCGCAGTTTGGAGTCGTTGCAATCACTGGAGCTGAGAGAAAATTTGCTCAAATCCTTGCCGGAGTCGTTATCGCAACTGTATAAATTGGAGCGGCTGGATCTCGGTGACAATGACATTGAGGAATTGGTAAAATGAGCTTAAAAGTATCATGAGTATAGCGTATAAGAAAAGCAGTTGGACCTTTTGGTCCTCAGGAATCTCCTGTTTCTATTTTAGCCATCGCACATAGGGAAATTGCCGGCATTGCAGGAATTATGGTTGGATCATAATCAGTTGCAACATTTGCCACCGGAAATCGGCGAATTGAAAACGTTAGCATGCTTAGATGTTTCCGAGAACCGTTTAGAAGACCTTCCTGAAGAAATCGGCGGTTTGGAGTCTTTGACTGACTTGCATTTGTCGCAGAATGTCATTGAAAAGTTGCCCGACGGAATTGGGCAGCTTAAAAAACTTACCATTCTTAAGGTCGATCAAAATAGGCTTTCTACTTTAAATTCGAATATAGGCAGGTGAGACTCGAACGTCTGTTTTTGTATTAAAACTTTAACAGTGCTGAAGAAGAACAACAAATGTTAACGTATTCTTCGTCTTCCTCTTCGTCAGGTGTGAGAATTTGCAAGAATTAATTCTCACTGAAAATTTTCTCCTAGAACTGCCTGTAACTTCGGGAAAACTTCTTAATCTTAACAATTTAAACGTGGATAGGAATAGTTTGCAGTCGTTACCTACTGAAATTGGTAAGGAACAATGGTTTGATGTAAATCTAGATAGTTAGTGAGAATAATTCAAATCTAATGTATTATTCTTTCGTTACAGGGAATTTGAAAAAGTTAGGTGTTCTATCTTTAAGAGACAACAAGTTGCAATACCTTCCAGTTGAAGTTGGACAGTGTACAGCCCTTCATGTTTTGGACGTATCTGGTAACAGGTGTGTGATTCTTACGTCATTTAGTTATCCTCGAAATATTGCAGCAACTTGCATTTCAGCAATTAACGTTATTTGTTCCGGTCCTTGATAAAGTTTTATTAACAACGCTTGTCTCGCAGATTACAATACTTGCCCTACTCCTTGATTAATTTGAACTTGAAGGCAGTATGGTTAAGTGAAAATCAAGCCCAGCCGATGCTCACGTTTCAAACCGATATCGACGAAGAAACTGAACAAGAAGTATTAACTTGCTTCCTTCTACCGCAGTTAGAAACTCATTACGATGGTTGGTATATTGATTTCCGTATATTGCGATGACGCGTACCTGATTTAATTCTTTTTTATCAGGTTCTGGTCGAATGGGTATGATGGTTGGAATGAGGAATGCAGTTCAGGCTGGTGAAATCCGTGAGGTTGGCAGCAGCGATGACGAGGGCTGGCAAGAGAAAGAAGCTTCGCGAACGCATTCCGTGAAGTTTACAGACGAAGCTCCAGAAACCGATAAGGAGGTGAGCAAGCTGTATTTAGCAAAGGCTCCTAGTTTCATTAGATACAAGTTTATAACTTTATTAAGGTACCTTACGTGTTGGAAACGTTATTACTCTTATGACTCACTGTATGAAAATTACATCAACTGAATATACGAAACAAAAATGTCTTATTCTTCCTTCTCTCTCTCTCTCTCTCTCTCTCTCTCTCTCTCTCTCTCTCTCTCTCTCTCTCTCTCTCTCCCACTCTCTCTTTCGAGTGACACACGATTGTGCAAATATTTGTCCTTATTTCAGACACCGTTTGTACGGCAGAATACGCCACATCCGAAAGAATTAAAAGCCAAAGCCCATAAACTGTTCAGTAAAGGAAAAAGTGAGAGTAGGTCGGCGTCTACGGAAGAGCAGGTAATTGTCATTTCAAGTATTTCCATCGAAACATCTTTATTTAGAGAATTTTTCAATGTGGAAAATAACAATATTATTTTTTCCAGGATGTTTCTCAAACGTTTGGTTTAGATAAAACTGAGACTGATATACTTACAAAACCTAGCGATTTAGAACTAGCTGCTGCAGAAGAGGATGAAGAACAAGAGAGACCTGAATCTGTAGAAAATGAGCAAAAGCAAACCATATCTGGAACATTAGCTGATAATTTGGACCTCCAGGCAAACGTTGAGCCACAAGTGATTCCTAATCAATACGTTACAGAGTCTAACGCTGTGAGTATATGGTGTCAGTAACAGTTTATTAATTTATTAACCGTACAATTGATTCCCTGTAGGAAATAAGAGCTGATGGTTCAGTTTCTGAACCGAGGGATAGGAATGATAAGGAGGATGATGAGTCTGAAAGCGAAGAAACTCGGAGACACGTAGAATTTTCTATAGCAGAAGGGGTTGATTACGAAGGTGCCAGTGATTCAAATAGGCCGAATAGACTTCATCGTAGAGATACTCCGCATCACTTGAAAAATAAACGTATCCATACGGCTGTGGACAAGGAAAAGGTAGCTTCGATTATTGCGCAGGCAAGTTTGTTATATATCTAAAAACACAAATTTCAACGATTCACTATCGGGAACAACAGTATTCACACTTGTAACTAAATGAAACAAATTTTATACAGTTTTTTTTTAATGTCTGTAGGCACTCATGAAGAAAACCGATGATGCTCCTGCATCCATCCCAGCAACCACAGAATCTACAGAAAATTATGACACTCATAGCCAAGGTAAAACAATCATATTTCTTATACTCTATTAACTGCATAGAGAAATCTTTTAAAAGACACAATTAAAATATTAGGTATTCGTGTAGAAATCGAAGTAAAATATTCCACTTATTCCTTATATTTCTTCTTCGCAACTGCATCGAACGACGAACACTTCTGGACTCGTTAACGTTACCGTTTTGTAATCACTAACAGCAAACAGAAATACCACGATAAGATATTTCACATTTTTTTATCAACTATCTTATCTCTTATCCAATTACGAATCTACTTCGCCGTAGCGAATATACTCATGCGAACAGAGAAAGAATCATTCAGTGGAAAAGCTTAATAAAGAAAAAACACATCGATGATAGGTGATATTGTTTATGATAGAAAAAAAATTAAAATGCCTAAGAAGTACAGGTGTTATGTGAAGAAAGGAAAAAAGAGAAATATAGGTGCAAATCAATGAAACAGTGAAACTAGTAATTTAAAGTACGTGGTAATAACTGAATTTATAATTTCATAGGTGAGACATCCAATGCTGAACCTACGATAGAAGTGCGAGAGGAACAATATGAAATTCATATTGAGAGAACGACAGGTGGTCTTGGGTTGTCAATAGCCGGTGGTATCGGTTCAACCCCTTTCAAGGGCGACGATGAAGGCATTTTTATTTCCAGAGTTACCGAAGGTAACCTCGTTGAATGTATACAAACTGATAAAAATGAATTTTCTTCGTTTTATTTGGCATTCTTATACAAATCAATTAACCTTCATAGGTGGACCCGCAGATCTAGCAGGTTTGAAAGTAGAGGATAAAGTATTGTCTGTAAATGGAGTTTCAGTAGTGAACGTAGGCCACTATGACGCCGTAGAAGTTCTAAAAGCATGCGGAAATGTTCTTGTACTAGTAGTTCAGAGAGAAGTGACGAGGATAGTACCGCCATACGAACAGGTATCGTATCGGTAAATGTCTTTTTTTTTTTTTATGAAATACTGAACATTTTTTACGGTATTCAACAGACCTCGTCAAGGAAGGATTCGGTGTGCTCTAGTCTGAGTACAAGTAGGGCTCCGAGCGCAACTTCTCATGTTTCATCTACAGGCATACCACATAATTTAGAAAATGGTGACGCTACTTTACCGCCTGACGGAATGAAGGTATATGGATTGTTTAATTGAAATTTCACTAAGTACCCTTTAGTTGTAATACTTAAAAATTTATTTGTTCTGTTAATTAGCCTAAGAAAATTCCGGAACTTATAGCCTCGGTCAAGGTAGGCAGTGAACCAATGGTATCAGTTCTTGTTCATACAACATTAATACGGGACCAAAACGGACTTGGATTTAGTACATGTATATATATATATATACACATGTATATATTGTTTTTATTTTTAATGTTTTAAAACACACTTTTTAGGCAATATACATTTCGAGAATAACTGACGGTGGTGTGGCGCAGAAGGATGGTAAATTATTAGTTGGAGATAAAGTAATATCTGTAAGTTAGTTTTTAATATAATATGACTGTAATTCATAAATGTGTAACCAAACGGACTCAGGTTAAGAAATCTTTAGATACAACCACTTTAATACAACACCAACACACGTGTATTATTATTTTTTTTTTCTAGATTAATGGAGTCGAAATGAGAGGTGCTAAGCACGAACAAGCGGTAGCTCTGCTAACGGGTCTGGAAAGATTCGTTCGACTGGTGGTCGAACGTGATATACCACTTTCCCAAGTAAACGCAGCCACGGTTGTGACACCATCAGAAAAGTCACCGCGCGTAATCGGTGCACCTAAACCGTACACTGGGGTGTACAATGCCAATAGTTACATAGCAGGTAGACCGGGTTACCCCGGGTACCGACGTTCCGTCGATACGGACAGGGCACTGTCGCCGAGTCCTACTGCGAAGACGCCACCGCCTATGAAAATCGAGACTATGGAGCTGCCGAAAATGAATGGCGTCACAGAATCCGGGAATATTAAGCACGCCTCCTCGATATCGCCAAGTCCAACAAATAGCCAACCTCCCCCACAGCCTGCCCCGAGGCATAGTATTTCACAGCCGACGATTGCATCCACGAGAGCGACGAGCACGACACCCACGACGCCCACTACAGAGCCTAGGCCAACTTCGCCCCAGGAGGACATACAGGTACCGAAGCCAATCACCAACGAAGAATTTCAGGCTATGATTCCCGCTCATTTCCTGCGTCCTCCTACCTCCTCATCATCACCAGATTTCCATCAAGGCCCTATCGTGACAGTGACAATAAAGCAGCCTGATAATCTACCCGGAGATGTTAATTTTCCTCCGGCTCCCACTACTCTTGGTAAAGTTACTGAGACCATCACAAAGAGCACTCTCACCGAGACCGTCGTGACTAGGGTGACCGACAACCAGTTGATGCAACCGGTGATCATCGAGGTATGTGCTTGGTAGTTGAATGCATGAATTACATTTTCTGTTATGCAGTTCGAGGAATCTGTTTTGGTTTGGGGGCAATTCAGGTTATAATTGATCCTCGAAACACGGACGTTTCTGATCAGCAGTTGCTGGGTATGTTTTGATCACTACTCTCGATTTTCTCTAGATGTATTTTTGAACATACTTGTACGAGGTAAATTGGTCACCTCATTGAATCGAATATGGACAGCTTTAATCTTAATTCAGTTACTTTTGAAAGCCTGTGTCAGAACAGACCCAGACACTGCCGTTCGGGTGTTAAAGAGACTTACCTACTCACAGAAAGTTTACATAAAAGTTGCCCTGTATGATTTGGTTAGTCGTTGAAGTTACAATTATCTTGTTTTAATACGGGGATCATTCGCACATATACAAGTTAAATTTCAATCCTAACACGTGTAATTTATTAACTTATTTCCATGCTTGGATGATAAACACGCTGTACTGGTAAATGTTATCGGTAACAGGAATTTCTCCAAACGTTATTTAATTAAAATTTGCTTATCCCAAACAATTTAAAAAGTGGTGGTAAAGTGGTCCTCCCTCCTTTTGCATGCGCAATAAAATATATATATAATTTATACATTGGCATTTTATGCGATTGTATAAGATTATATTTAGCAGATTTGGTTATTAAAATTTCTTTACATTAAGATGGTTGGCCGGTTGTGAAGAAAACAAAGTTGCAGTTATTGTTACTTCTAAAAGTGTCTTTACTGCATGCTAAATTGATTGATGTCACTTTGATATATATTCAAAATATTTGTTAGAAATTTGGTTATGCGGGACGTTGTATTTGTTTGATACTGGGTGCTTATCCTCTGGCATGGAAATAGGTAAGTAGTATAAACTAAGTATATTCTTCTTTTCTACCTGTCACAAGGCTGAACCCAATATACGTGTAAATACAGTCTTTAAGCTTAAAATTAAATATTACACATTACAGTTGTTTCCTTCGTTCACTCTACTGTTGTATAATGCTCATTAAACTGTATATTTTGCTGATTATTATTATTATTATTATTATTATTATTATTATTATTATTATTATTATTATTATTATTATTAGACTGTGGATTTTATGGATTTATCACGTACACGATTGTTTAAAATTTGTTACACTTGAATTTCTAATAAAATTTATCGAGGTTTTTATTTTCGAATAAATTTCTGCTTGACTCCAATCTCTGGAAATTGGTCCATAGTTATACATATTATAGTAGTTTATACATATTTGCATAAACATCCGCAGTCTACTTGTTATACGCTGCACCTCTCAAAAATTAAGAAAGTATATTCCATTGTTAAAATTATTTATGTAAGTAACTTAAATAGTAAAATTTTAATTATGCAGGATGTAGTCCTTGTGAAAGAAGGATCTCTAGGATTCAGTATCATTGGAGGTACGGACCATTCTTGTACACCATTTGGTGCAAAAGAACCTGGAATTTTTATATCTCATGTAAGTATTCAGAAGTATTTGCATGCAAAGGTAAAATTAAACGAATATAAAATTCTCGATTTTTGACATTAGGTCGTTCCTGGCGGAATAGCTGCAAAGTCTGGAAAGCTAGGAATGGGTGATAGAATATTAAAAGTGAATGGTACAGATGTAACAAAAGCTACTCATCAAGAGGCTGTGATGGAACTTCTACGACCAGGAGATCAAATTATGCTGACTGTTCAACACGACCCCTTACCAGAAAATTATCAGGTAATATATCGCGAATATTTTTGCTTAATGCTTGCTAGTCACTGGACAAATCTTCTGCTTCTTAACTATAAAACAGCTTTATAGTTCAAACACGCTGAAAAGTGCAATTCTAAAAAGATAGTTACAGCAAATGTGTACTATCGCAGCTTCAATTTTTGATATTCAAATGCAAAAGGTTTGAAACCGAATAAAATGTTTCACGGTATAATTTACAAAATACGCACTGAACAGCAATCTTAGATGAAATTAAATAGAATAAGTCTCTTCTATGCATTTTCCACTTAAGAAACTAAAGGAAAACATGTTTTATGTTTATCAATTGACGCTTATAATCTGCAAATAGCGGCACTTGCTGCTTCACTTACATCAATTTTCACACCTAATTCCATTATCTATAATTTATCCAACAAGCTGGTCGAAATAGAGTACATCCCTGTGACAGTAAGTACTCAATGCATTTGACCTGTTATTTTTATTTCTCGATGTTGTGCTTATCCTTCTCTTAAGCTTGCAAATTCAGCACCAAATCACAAACAATTGCTTCTTTGCTTAGGCTGAGATTACATAGAATTTTTCAATTGCTTCTTGCTACATGCAAAAGATCCAACACAAGGTGATCATCGTATTTATAATGTTCAACCAATATCTAGAAATGAATATGAAAGTAAAACCTTTAACTGAAAAACTTTTGACACGTCGGCAGTAAGAAATACATTTTGAATTAACGTTTATTATTAAATTTTAGGAATTGGTTATTACAAAAGAGCCGGGCGAGAAACTTGGTATGCACATTAAGGGTGGACTTAGAGGACAAAAGGGCAATCCCCTTGATCACACGGACGAGGGTGTTTTTATATCTAAAATTAATTCCGGTGGTGCAGCTAAAAGAGATGGAAGACTGAAGGTAATTTATTTCATTGAATCGGTATAAGTATGCGAGCAACTGTTTCGTGTGTACATAGGTTATCATATAGGTTATATTATCGATCGTAGGTGGGCATGAGACTGTTAGAAGTCAATGGTACATCACTGTTAGGCGCGACTCATCAAGAAGCAGTAAATATACTTCGGTGTTCAGGAAACACAATCACATTAGTAGTTTGCAAAGGGTACGACAAAAATGAGGTAGAGCCTCATTTCCCAGTGTCTGACGGCAGAGAATCTAAAGAGTCTAGAGCGTCTAAAGAGTCGAAAGATCTTACAGCGGAGGGTACTAAGTCTTTGTCACAGAGTGTGTCTAGCTTGGATCGCGATGACGAAGAAGCAGCTACTCTAAGGCAGGAACAGGAAATGAAGGCGGAACTTGTGGCGTGGGAGCAAGAAGAAAGGGAACGTGCTTTGATCGAGCAAAGAGAAAAATCTACACCGGAAAAAGTAAGGTTTACGACAATTCGCGTTTTCATTAGAAATAGAATGCAGTCACATGAAAGATAATCTTTAAAAACACGTTAATACCATACAGGTATTAGACGTAGTAAGAGCAGCTGAATCATTAGTAAGCAAATCGAATAGTCCTGTCGATATGGTGCCGCCAAAATCACCCGGTGGCACTAAAGATCTCAAAACTACTACAATCGTGATGAGCAAGCACACTCTAGCACCTCAAAATACAAATGTAAGTACCTTTACGATTTTATCAACTTTGAGTTCGTCAGTATATGCATGGTTTCGAAAGTATCGAATGATTTGCAAACAGTGGTTAATTTGACTAACGATACATCATTTATGCGAATGCTGTAGTATTTCAATTTTCTGTAAGGGTATCTTTGATACAGTTAAATGGTTATGAGTTTCTTTTGGTTTACCGTAGAATATTACTGGTTATAAATAATTTATGAATGTTAATTGAGAAATTTCCATAATACATATCTATCTGCTTGGTTTGTTCCTTAACTAAAGATTTATTTTATGAAAATGTTGCCTTTTCCTTTTTTTTCCATTTATACCCTATAGTTTACTTATAGAACAATTACTACTATTGCCGCCTTTCATTTTGAGTTTGACTTTAAAAAGCGTGCATGTCCCGTTACATACAATATTTTATTAGTAGTTGAAGATTGTACATTTGTCTCTTCATACATAATAATGTGCATGTATGTGGATACATACATGTATAATTTATTGATAAACATATTACACAATCTTTATTAATGGCATTTAAACAAAAGGAGGAACACGTATAAGACATTCATTCTGTGAATGAGAATATTGAAGAATTATACACCTTGATTACATACTTTGGGAATAGAACAATTATTATGGTATAACGATACCAATTAAAAGCCCAGCTCTTGCCTATTATACATTTGACTGAATACATGATATGACTACACTAGAACTGACAAAATTAAGAATTCTTTCCATCCTTTATCAATGAATCGTAAATTAGGCATTTCTGTACACTCGTATACATGTTTGCATAAGCATGAAAAGTTATTTCTTTCACTTAAATGTGTTTAATTTCTCATCATTAGTATTTATAAATCACGTACATTTATACATTATACTGTACTTATAATAGTAACAGAAAAAAAAAGAGGCGAATCGAGTACAGTGTTCTTGACGTCAACATTAACGTACCGATTCATAGTTCGTATTACAGGGAAAACAAAGTTAACTTTTTTCGATAATTTTATGCTTTAAATTTACACTCACCGTAAATGTAGATAGACTTTTTCAATTGTCACTGATGAAAAAGAAACCTTTATTATTTGCCCTCTGTCAATATCACTAGTTCATGAGTCTCATTACTTACTTGTTCATATGTGACGCATGAAGTGTACATTTTGTCGGTGTTTTTAGCGTCGCATGCTCTCCTGAGCAGCAAAACAAGAGATATTTCACGTGTTTACAGACAGTGGACGGTGATAGCGCTACTTTGGCTGCCCTCTAACAGGAGTGAGTCGTTCGATCCTCTACTCATTTCCCCTGTGTCTACGTCCATACCTCTGAATCCGCGGGACTGTGCCATAATAAATTACTCTAAGGAATATTCATGTCGTTATGGGATCTTTCTACTATAGTAGAGAGTTGAAAAAAAAAAGTCCAATTTGTCCTATTCTATTTTCTAAAAATCCAGCATCCCAAGGACACATTGCTGAACCTTTATTTTTAATGAAATCTATATCTTACCAAGTGCTGTTACAGTCTCGTTTTTTGGTCTATTCCCAAGAAGTTAGACTCAAGACCCCAAAAACTTGACGCTACTTAATGTTCAACTTCAATGGACGAACTACCCGCGGTTTCTCTAGGAGCATTATCAAAAATAAGAAAACCTGCAGTTTCTTTAAAAAGAAGGTTTTCAAAGTGACCCATCTTGTTGAACGCTAAAGTAGGAAGACCCCTTAACTTGCATATAATCACTGTTTGTTGCGTTTCATGGGTATCATTGTTATATACAATTTTAACTATCGTTACTCCGTTTGTTACTGATACTGCCATTATACTTAATGTTAAGTGTATTATTGCGAAAATGCTGACTGTGGATGGGTTGGTTCTGTGATTGGTTTCTTGCTTTTTCGGTCCGGTACGGGGGGGATAAGATTTTTAATCGTCACAGAAAAGTGTGATATATCTTCCTTAGCTAGAGACTCTCTCGTGTACATAATATTCATCGCTTCTTCGTTCGTGGATAATCGGTTGAAAGATGAACATGAGAAAAATATTTCTGTGATAGGTAGACAGAGGTCGAAGTTAGACAAGAACTTCCCACGTTTTTAACGGATATTTTTTAGCTATATTTGTACATTGATTCTTAGAATTGTTTTGCAGTCTATTTTATAAATGTTAGAGACGTACGACGGGTGATTGTTGTAATTTCTTGAGCTTAAAACAATACTGCGTGAACTTCCATTGGGTATTATATCAGAAGCTACTGAAAGTAAGAAAGAAGAACTGTAATGACAGTGAATAACTCGTCCTACTTAGGAAATTGAACAAAAACTCTAGAAAATCTCAATAGTTGAGTGTGTTTAAGTGTGTCTTTGGAGTTACCTTGTTTTTTGAATTAAATGAATGATTTTGGTTTTATTAGAAAAGAATATTCAGAATGAGCAGGTGTCAGAAATATTTGTTGTTTGTTGAAATGAAAAGAAAAGGAAATCTTTTGCAATTATTTTAATTTCTGTGTATTTTTTTATTATATTATTAACATACTAGTTCGTGTTAGAAGAAGATATTTTACTACTTCCAGAAGTATGAACACTATTTTATAGAGCACAGTTTGTTCTCTGTGATTACATAGGTAATCTTCTGTTTTATACATTTTTCATTCATTTGGTGTGACACGAGATCATAAATGTGTGTATCATTGGCTAGGGAACATACCCAAAAATATCAAGTTTTAATCATTTGATTTACTATACAATGTACAGTTAAAAAGTGGAAAAGGAAAATGATGATGAAATGAAATGTCTTTCGAGGTGTGAAATATTATTTGTTAAGGTGTCTGTACATCTAGCATTTCTTTTGAGTTACAAATGCCAGCTTGAATGGTTGCTGGCTACAGTGAACTCATATCATTATTGAAATATAAAAATAAGTGTGTATTGTATTCTCCAAATTTTCTATAAATGTTATATGTTGATATAAATCTAATGGACCAGATGTTTATATATTATTATGAAATATATAAAGATAAGATAGTATTTATCTAACTAAAAAGAACAAAAGAAAACAATGTTACTGTTGAAGTTCCAGTTGACCGACGCGAATAAGGAGAAGAAAATAAATGCAGTGCTTTATTCGGATGTGTCGATGCACCAAGTTCTTCTGAAAACAGTTACGTTTATCCCGTTGATATATTATCGTTCGCGAGAGAACACATTTTTCATGTTCATATTCAGCGACGCAGAGAAGATTACAGTTTCTGCTAATTGAGTTGCAATCCGGGATAAAAGATCAACTAATTGTATCACTTCAGAATTTCTTGAGATGCATTGATATACGTATGTGGAGGGATGAAGGATAGGGTACAAATTGCGAAGTTACTTTATAAAAAGAAAACGATTTTAATACACTTAAAATCATTGGAAGGGTATACAGAGCAAGATTATGCGCAAAGCTGCATGAATTGTTGCAATAATAGTACAATTGATATAATACTGAATGTATAGATGGTAAAAAGAAAACAAAAACAAGAGGAAAAAGATGATTGGATAAATAAGTTCGAGACCGATTCCTTTTTAATTCTGATATAGATTTTGTATGAGATGTAGTACTGAAAATAAATCTGTTTTTAAAGTACAATTGTCAATGTCTCGAGATTAGAAACGAAGGAAGATGCGTATATACTGGTTGTAACAGTAGCATAGAAATTAATCTTAGTGTTGCTCTATTATGCCGATGGTTCTGTAGTTGATCATTATTACATTTTTTCTTGTAGATTAGCTTGCATCAAGAGGTTGCATTAATTTTACTAATACAATTCTTCGTGTTATTTACTTAGTCACTAAGGAAAGAGAGAGCTGGAACGCCAACGGATTATTCGTCAACCAAGTCTCCGGTCTCTGTTCTTAAACCAACAACGAAACTCGATCGTACCTCTACTGCCAGAACCTTACCCTCACCAAAGAAAAAGAGCTCTATACCAAAACGTAGCATAACCTTCGCTGATCTTCCTCCTGTTTCGAAACGATCAGTCGATCATTCTTCTCCCACTGTAATCAAAGAGAAGCAACCTTTTCTCTTGCATGACAAATTCACCTCCGAGCCACAAATCGTTTCTTACAAGCAAGTCTACCATAGTCCCACCGAGACTCATGCTCGTTTCAAACTTCCCCCGACGCCTCTTACCGCTCCTGAATCCCTCCGGCATTTTGGCACTTTGACCTCCTTTAGCAAACGACAGAACGCACGCTCTGTTGATGGGAATATTCAGGTTGAGGTGGGTTTAAGAAGCATGTTTAACTAGCACTAACGCGGTACACACTCTTATACGACATTCTGTACCAAGAATGCTGATACGTTTCACTCGTAGGATTTCACTGTCGTTGAACGGAATTCGCGTTTCTAGTAGGTGAACCAATAAGTAATCCACGATACTTTTTTAAATTAAGAGACGTGTGTGTGTGTGCCTGCGCGCGCGCGCAATATATATATATATTAAAAAGTATCGTCCAGACATTTCACCGAATCAAATTGATGCAAAGTGCTGGAAAATTATTGTGAGTACAATTTAAACATTATATAGGGTCTTTCACTTCCATAAAAGGGAATTGTAATTTCGTCTAGAACAACTAGATTACTTATTGGTACACATAATAATAGGGGGCACCAATGGAATCATCTCCGATGATTATTATTCCTCTTATTTTGCAATATAACGACAGAGGAATTCTTAACTTGAAAAAAAATGACTTTGCTGGGGCTTACTAGTGTAACTAAATTGTTCATTCATTACACAAATTACATGCTGGATAATATTCATACATTGGCATGCATGCAACAGGTTCAAGTATGTATATTGAGCAAAATTCTATTGGTTGCATTCCGATTATAAGAAAAAGTGATACACTATAATGAAAAAGACTTCTGCATGCATCTCTGTTATTATATTGTTGTATTATTGAGTTCATTTTACAGCGTTCTGTTAGTAATATAATGTTTCAATATACAGCTTTCACCGACAACATCACCAACACCGCCCTTAGTAAAGATGTCAGTTAGCGATAAGAAGAAATTGTTTGAAAGTGCCATGGAGGAACATTTAAAGCCATCCCCTAAGCCAGGTTCGATATTTGTTGAAGTATTTAATCAAATGAATTCAAGATAACGCGAATACCCATGTACATTATTTCTACATCTCTTTTTAGACAAAGTATTCAGTTTCCTCAGTCAGGATGAAGTAGAAAAAATGAAACAGGAAGAAGGTGAGTTCCTCATGGCTTTTCGTTTCATTCATTTGGTACACGACTAGTTTATGCTATCGTTAATTATTGTTATCTATATTTAGAAAAGAAAATCGCCACGTTGACGCGGGACGAATTAAAGTGTTGGGCACAACTTGATGAAAACGAAGGTCTAGAAGATTTGGAGGAAGCACTAGAAGATCAGGATAATCGACGACCTAAGTAAGCTAAGTTGTACTCATTCCGCATTTGACAGTGTGGTGATTAAAATTCTTTTTACCCTTTTATTTCTTTCTTTGTTTCGATCTCTTCGCGTCTGCATATACAATTCAATGATAAAAAGAAAAAAGAGAACGGAAAACAGGGACAATTGACAACTGTACATAAAAAATGAATTCTGAACACGATATAATCTTTTTTATTGATCTACTTCAGAAAGCTCAATTTCTAACAATAATGATAAAAATTGGTATTTTAATTGATTTCATTTTGACGCAGGCCGAATTGAAAATTAATAAGTTCAATTCATTTGTAAATTATATCAATTCATTAAACATTGTCTTAGCGAGCTAGGTCTCGACAGGTCGTGATCACTTATCACAAACACAATAAGAGAATTAATTTACATTAATGTATTTTACTTACATGAGTATTACTGCACTTCTCTACTTAATGCACATTAGTATTTTAAACATATTTCTGTATATAGAAGTATAATATAATGTAATTATACAAATGATATTTTCCAGTTGTAAGATGTTGAAAATAGACTCCTTTCATTATGTATAAGTATTTCACGAGGCAGCTACTCTTTAATTAAAAAAGAAAATACTTCATTTCATTACCAAATTGTAAAATCGACTGTTAAGTGATGCTTCAGAATCTAGTGCAGAAGATAGCATTTCTATAGTCAGTTTATATCTTAGAAAAGTATCAAATGGTATCAATCGGTGTTTTGATATCACATATGAACGTTACAGGGTGACTGAGCATTGTGTACATATCAGTATTTTTCTTTATACCTGCGAGAAATTCATATTTTTACGTGTATATATTTTATAAACGGGTGCTTCTTGTTTTGAATATTATTTTATTACGTTATGCATGCTTATTAGAACAAGCGTACAAATGTTTTTGTTATGTGTTAGCGATTGCTTTTCTTTATGAGATAACGTACATTTGTATACAGGCTTATGAGGTCACCATTCATATTGTACCTTGCAGTTAAGGTTGTGGTTATGCTTACATAGGCATATACATTTAGTGTACTCACTTAATAAGACAAAAGGTGATAGGTTTTACGAGGATTGTGTGTATTGAAATGTACATTTCAACGCGCACGAAAACGTACGCTTCAGCACATGTTCATCATATGCACTGCAAGCAAATGCACATTAAAGATTCTGAAGAATAGTTATTACATTACTGAACTGCGGATTTTTATGTAAATTCACATTTCTTCGATGAATTACATAGGAATTTGCTTCCTTTATTAAATTATAGAATAAACGCTTCGTTCAAATTTGTTAAAATGTTTCCGTATGCATACACATCCGTAGTCTATTTAGTTATTATTTATTAAAACAGATAACGTTCGTCGACGGTTTTTGTTTTTATTTATAAAAGCAATACTCATCTCCATTCGGGTGGTGTTTGCGCACGTATAATTATTTTTTAGAATCTCTCTTAGCACCTATTATTATCCACTAGACTTAGTTGTTGTGTAGTGTAGCCCAATTTTGTAATTTTTATTGTTTTGTACATAAGTCATGTAATATCCTTTCCGCCTTTGTACACACTTGAACGTCGCTTTTGTACCTCCTTTTTTTTTACGAATAAAACATTCATACTTTGGCACATGTATATGATTTGTCAGTGTGCATGCTCGTTACCTTGCAGTAGCCGACTGAGCTCGCGAAGTTCGATCCCCATTCTGCAGAATCTTCCAAGCAGTGTACGGACAGCAAAAGCGGAACGACGTTTGAAGGAGAGATTGGTACAGGAGGTATTGATTTTATTGAATCTTTTTAATCATTGCAATTCATTTTTATTCATAAACGAATCACGCACGTTCCGAACCGTTTCGAGGAAAATTGGACAGATCGAAGCGTTTTAAAAGTGGCTTATATTCTTTCGTTGTGTAAATATTTTAACAAGGTATCAAAGCTTAAATCACTGTATTGGGATGTTGATAATCGATTGAAATGATTCAATGTGAATACAAGAAACAGACAGACGAACACACACACACACGCACACGCACACACATATATATATATATATATATATATATAATTACATATTTATTTTGAAATAGTAAATAAAACTGTATTGTAAAGGCGTATTTCTTCTGTAACAGCTTTCCTCATTTGTAGGGTATTATGTCGGACGAAGATGAAGAGAGCCATTTGAGTCCTGCTGAGCAGAGAGCACTCAGAGCAGAGAAACGTGCGGCGTGGAGACAGGCACGATTGAAGTCTCTTGAACAAGTAAAATAATCGTCGTTTCATTTAATATTCTCGTCTCGTTAACGCTCTATAGCCGCACAAGAACAAATTTATAGACTATGAAACGAATGGTGCGGTTGCAGACTGTGTTAAAATTCTGTGTTTCGATTGATAACAGTTTTACTTTACTTGTAGGATGCCCTTCAAGCGCAAATAGTAATAAAGAAAATGAGCGAAATGATGGACACCACGAACAAAATAAACACGCTACAAGATTCGATCGATGCTGTCACTCCTGTTCTAGAATCCGAAAAGCCAGCCGATGTAAGCATATGAGAAGCACACTCGCATCTAATGATTATTATCAGTAACCAACGTAATCTAACGATGTGTCTGAAACGAATTAACCAAGTATTATCCATTTATACTCGATTTAACCAGAAAAACCATTTACTAATTGTCTTCTTTGCTCGTCGTTGTCTTGTCGCTCTAACTTAGTGTCCGTGTACTCCAATGTTTTCTTAACTACAACACCGCCTTCTTTGTCTTGCTATCATATAGTTCACTACTACGTTACGGCCGTCTAGTGCAGATTTCCCCAAACTTGCTGTACGCAGCAAGGTGGGTCCCCCTAAAGAGATACGCGAATCAGAAAAAGTAGTGGACGAGAAGGTCACTCGACGTACCGAGGAGTATGTGGATGAGGTGACGGGTGAACGTCGCGTGAGAACGGTCGAATACGTCGAGAAGCTCATTGAGCGACAGGTACTATAGACTCTCTAAAATTTGCACAGAATAATAAGCACCGGATTGATTACCTTCTGATCCACATCACCCGGTTAGAAACGGTTTGTGTGAGAAGCATAAAATGGTCTGATAGCTGGTGCGCTGTCTTTTTTGTTTTGGTTTATATATTAGCTGTCCCTAGCTTATCGTATTGAACATTCAAAGCCCTTTTTATTTATTATATAATGTAATAGTGATATACTGACCGAGTCGCTTTCTCACGACTCACTTGTAGTCAATTTACGTTCCTGTACAATTAGAATCTAATCGAAAATCGCCTGGAAAGGTTCTCAGTTTTTTAAGAAAACTTTGAAATCGGATAGTTTTTATAAACTTTAGATAAATTTTTAGATATACACCTGTATTTTTTAATATGTTCATATCTTAAGACAGGGCTGTTTAACTGGCGGCTCCTTTCCCGACTTGCCTTCCTCGCTGAGCTGTCGGAAATCGACACCCACCACCTTCATCTGACTCCGTCGTACGACGTCTTTAGTCGTACGAGGTAAGACGAGTATGCATGGTGTACTGGCTAGGCTGTTGATGGTGGGTGAAGCGGCCGACTGGGAGTAAGGGCTCGTGTGGCTCTCGGCGGGGAAGAAGTTCCACAGCCCTGTCTTAAGAAACAAATTGAATTTATTTTGTGTGTGAATCTGTGTATGTACGTATGATGTGTCTCTCTCTGTGTGTGTGTGTGTGTGTGTGTGTGTGTGCGCGTGCGTGTGCGCGCATGCTGCTCTTAAAAACATTTTGCTTCATTGCACAAAATACAAATGGAAATATTTAGTCCAACGGTTATGTTTGTTGTTCCAAGAATCCAACATTGACCATGGAAGTGCAACCTGCACCACCTTGAGCAATTGATTTCATTTCCACTGATCACTAACAAACTCTACTCATACTATTGGTAAATGCTCTACTATTGGTTTTTCTTATAATAGTTTCTTAAGCATGTCCAAGTATTTCCTTCGATTGATACTTTCTTGTAGTTACTTTGATGGTAACGGTATATATTTATTATTGCTGTAACACTGCTGTAAAGTATATAATTGAATTCATTTGATAGAATATAATGCAAAGAAATTTCTGTTTTTCTTTACCGTTGAATGATGGTATTTCTCTCGTATTCACGATGATTTTATTCGTGTAACTAGGTTGAAACTCTGCGAGAAAAGATTATTTCACTGGAGTTAAGTAACGCAGAGGATGACGTTGAAAGTATTACTGGGACAGGAGCCAGCGAAGGTGAGAGCGAAAGTGAAGAAATTACGGGACAGTCTTCTGTTGTGAGTAGTCCGCAAAAGAAAACTGAAACGATTATAACTACAAGTGCCGCCGACGGTGTCGCTCCTAAAATCAGTGCAAACACTGTTGTTACTACGAAGAAAAAGAAGAGAAAACGTTCGAAAAAAGGTCGCCATTGACCGTAAAATGCAAATATATCGGTGCAAAAATGAAAAGACGGGTATACAAGGAAATTGGTGATTGTTTCCTTGTGGTTCACGTCCCAAAAGTGTGTTCCAATAATACAAATTTTGTGTTATACCAACTTTCCACACTTCAGAACCCTGCTGTATTGGTGCATATAGTATTACAGATCCTTCATTGCGCATTGCCGTTTCGAAGCATACAAACATATACGCATAAGATACAATTTTATATCCATTACTTAACGTAATTCACTAGGTGCATTCTGAATTACATTTATTTTTCACATGAACCGTGCTATAATTCTGGTATTAGCTTATTGTTTTGAATAATGCATTATTTTTATTAATTTTAGTACCGTATTTTCAGTGGACACTGGTGCAGCATAACAATCAATAATCAGTTTTCATGTTTCATATTTTGTAAAATTTCTATTTTATAGTAACTATATTTCATAAATTGAAACTACTACGTATATATCTTTTATAGAAATATATCTCAATATTGGAAAAGCTATTTATAAAGAAAATTCTTCGTAAGGCAAGTATGTAATGTTGCAAATAGTATTTTTACTATCAGTAGTACTGTCAGTAATTATTTTATATAATATATTTATTAATGTCATGTCATGGGAGAAGTCATGTGATTTAAAACTTTACAGTAATCTATGTAAAAAATAATGCACATTCCCTTTTATAATTTTTCTTGTAATACATGACCACAGTCGGTGTTTCTTATTCTCGAATCGAAACTAATGGAAAAAGTGCTGTTGTATGTATAAAGTACAAGTAATACCACTGACGAGTATTTATTTACGTAGAATATACAGAAAATACTAAATATTTTGGAATACATAATTGAAACATTTCAATTAAATTGTACAATTGGTTAGCTATTCCTTGTATTTTCTCGCTAACTACAACGAGGACAGTTGCTACAAAAATGAGTTTTCTTCGGAAGAAAAACCTCTGAAATAACCGTGATTGATTATTCTGGACCAATTATATCCATATTGAGGGTTTACAATTCGACATTGGGTATCATAAAAGTTTGTAATGGTAGCCCATAAATGACTTGTAGCATTCCAGTAGGTCAAGTCCATGTAATCAATTAAATCAATTCCCAAATCGTTTCTTGCGGTGTGCATGAGAATAGAAACCAAAAGTAAACCGGAAAATACTGTGACGAGGTAGTTACGCGGAAGTGAAAACGGGAAGCAATGCAAGGAAAGAGTTTTGGAATATCTAAGGAAATGCAAAGAAAGGGAATGTAAAAGTAAGCAGAATCGTCCAAACCTGTTCAGTAAATGTGCATGGCGAAAAAACTGCACAAACCTAACCCTTGAGAAATTCACAAGAAAAGAATAGGCAAAAAATCGTAGCGTATATGAAAGATTCGAAAAGTGAAAGTTACGAAAACCATATGCGAAAAATAACATGGATGTGGTGGCAGTTCTATAACCGCCACACATATGTTATATTTAGTTAGCATCAAAAGTTAAATTAATAATGTGGATCACAATCTAGCTTTTGTGATTTGTAAAGTATTTTATTTATTTCCCTTTAGAATTAAGTAAATTAATATATGTGTTATATAATGCTGTTTTAATCCATCCTGAGATTCATTTTAAAAAGCACATTGTATTTAATCTCATTGTTGAACATCAACATTTTTTAATCACCCATCTTTAGGAACGGATATACCGGATATACATACATATACATATATGTTTAAATGAAATTACTATTCAGTTTAATGTCAACGTTGTCACTATTATAATAAACACGACTATTAAACTTTTAAATTGTTTTAAATATACCGTAATATTCGTGACGATTTTATTCGTTTTAATTTATTCGTGCAGACGCTAGTTATACTCCTATTTCACGATGTATGAATGTAGGAGTGAATTTTATAATTAAACAATTTACGTTCAATTCGTCATAATATGCATAGAAAAGCGGCATGTTCGGCAACAACAACTAGCATTATACGTAATTAACAATTATCTAATTTAAAAATGCAATATGTAAACTAGAGGAAATAATTTTTACTACTTACCTATGTCGTAACATTTTCATTCTTAACATATTTACTGGTGATCTTAAGTACGAAGATAATATTTTATATGGATCGTATACACTTTTTTTAAATAAAGAAGACCATTATTGTTAAGAATCTTTCAAATTACACATACAGCATGTAACATAAATGAATATTAATTGAAACAAGAACACTAATTGACTGCGGTGTAAAGTGCGATTTTGGGAGCGGGACCAAACACTACATTATTTGTAACATTATGCGAAAAAAACAAAAACAACTTTCCTTATATGCTTGTTGGGTGTGACTTCACATACTTTCTACATATTATACGGTCTATGATAAATTCAATGATTCCATGGTTAAAATGAAATTAAAAAATGGTAAAGTGCCAATATTAATTACATATATCTTTATGGGACTATTTTAAAAAACAAACTTTTAATAGATAACTCTTAGAAAATTTGTATACGAGAGGAAAGTTGTCATGCATTAAATATAACATCACTATTAATGTACAGTAAGACCCCTGTGTCTGCGGGGGATTGGTTCCAAGTTCTAAGGCCTTCCGCGGATGTCGAAATCCGCAGATAGTAGCAAACCCTATTATATATGTACAAACGTATGAAACGTAGAAATACGTGTAAGCGCAGTTTCCGCAGGGGATAATAGTTATTTTGAAATATTGGTAAATTTATTAATAAATCTATAAAAACAAATGAATTTTTGTCTAAAAATTAGTTTTTCGAGTAATGGAAACTGCAAGAATTGTAAAACTTCGCTTTTTCCTGTAGCGAATGCTAACTTTGCACATCAGTGTACATCCATACATACACATATACGTATACGTACTTATGTATATGTGTCTGTGTGTTGTACATGCTATAAATTCCTATGATGATATTTTATTTGATTTTTATGCAGACTTATTTGAGATAGATTACATAGTTGTATGCAACCTTTTCGGACCGCGATTAACCGCGGATAAGTGAAACCGGGGATACGGAGATTCTACTGTAATTATGATAAATGTCATTTGAAATATAATATAAAAACTGTAACAGGTACAATGTTAAAAATGTTTGATAGCGTTCATGTTTTATGTAACCTTTGCTGGATTTCATTGATGTAGTTTATTTGTTTATGAAGAAAACATGTCCATTGTCAAAAATTTTAACACTGTAACCATCGGTTAAAGAATTACCTTTTGTATTAACTTTATGTCCTTGAAACAGCTCTTACGTTTTAAGGTACTTTACATCGACATTGAATGTAATAATAACAATAATAATTTTTATCGATTTCTAAAGTTCTTGAATTCATTCTTAATTATTTTAACTGATTATAAAGATGACACTGTCTCCTGTCGCACATAGGTAATGTTAAAAAAGGGAACATTAATTGGCAAAAAGAAAACAAATAATAAAAAATATGAAATGACAAAATACAGAATACAAATGTTCGTGGTACTATAGGTTGAAAAATTATATATATTATTTATTTATCTATGTTTTCTATTAAGCAATATTTATACGTTTTACAATGTTACACACATGAATTTTAAAACAGAATGATGTATACTTATGTAAGTGCAAATTTACCGTGAAGAATGTACAATCGCGGAATTCTTCTAATTGATTTGGATATTTTAAATAAGAGTAAGAAGATGAATGCAACTTTCTAACATTTTTTATACTAACCCCATTACTGCGTTATAGTAAATAAAATGTAGTCATAATATTAATATGTATTGATATGCATTCTTTTTCTCTACTAAAAATTTTATTTATTACTCACAATACTTTTATCTCTTCGGCGCAATAACACCCTCTAACTGAGTCTGAAAAAATTATTAATTCGTCCATTTTACGAATTTTCATAGAACCAGGTTAATAACAAGGTTTGTTCTATTACCTTCAATTGCTGATTTGTCTTCTTAAGGAATTGTATTTCCTCCATATGTTTCTTTTCGCCAGCTTCCCTCAACTCAGCGGCCCTCTTCTGAGCCTGTTCAGATTTCTGCTTCAATTCAGCAACAGTTTTCTCCAATTCAGCTTTTTGCAATCTTAATTCATCCGCAGTAGCTATTAAATCCTCTTTCCCCTGTTCAGCCTATAACAATATTAATGGAGCTTTGTGTGTCCGAATACACTGTATTTATGTACCCACCTGTAAAGCTTTTCGCATCCCAAACGCAATACTGCTCTGATACAGTATTTGATACGCGGCTAATGTCATTTTCAATTCATCCCGGATTCTAAGTAAAAGTATACCACGTTCAGCGCAATTTACAGTAACCTGTCGTATTATTTCATCTGCAAAATAATATTCGATAATTTTAAGATGAAATTAAAGAACCAAAAGATAATTAAAAAAGTATTAGAAGACTATTTTACCAAAACACTGTGTATAAAGCTCTCTGCGAACAGGACAAAGACCAGTTTCTCTGGCCTGCCTTTGTTGTAACTTCATATCCAATTGTTCTTGCAAATTAATAACATCCAATCTTGTTGCTGGTGTACTTGAAACCTGTATGAACCATACATTTCAGAATGAATACGTAAACAATTAAGTTGGGATACTTTTATTAATAAAGTTTATTTTACCCGTTGAGTCCATGTTTGTCCATCTTCTTCCCATTTCTTAGGTGGAAGAATCCTGTTTAAAATGTCAATAGTCTCGTGTCTTGTATCAACAGTGGGAGGAGTAGTTTGTACTTTACACACTGTTCCTCCAATTTTTGGTGCTGTTTCTTTAGATACCTGTCTTAATAACGAAATTTACAATTAAACTAGCTAGTATTTTTGAAAAAGTAACAAAATACATTTTATTCGTAGTTATTGAACCTTTTCTGGACGTGTTGTGTCTAAAACTGGGTTGTCATATTTGACCAGAGTATCCATGGTAGGAATAGCCCGATCTTTTACCGTTGTTGCCATCGTTGTTATGTATTCTTATGCGCTATTTAGATAGTGTACTTTTATTGTATTGTGCGTTCTAATTTACTAAACAGTAATTAACGTAATTATACACTATAAAGTAGATTTGAAGTTGTACCAAGCTTAGGAATTGTCATAGCAATATTGATGTATCATGCGTTACTAAGTAACAGTGAATCAATTAGAGAAGAAATGAGACAGAAATATACAATAAAAGTTTTATTATAACAAACATGATAAAATTATAAGTATCCGTAATTTTTTTAGTGTATACGCATTATTTCTTTTTAAATATAAATTTCATACAGATATGTAAATATATAAAATAACTTTTAAGTTTGCATAAATTCTTGTTTTAGATCTCTTCTAGGAATATTCTTCATACAATACATATCTCTTTCGTCGTGTGTTAGTTCGAATGTATTAAACTTGAACATATTAAAGTTAAAGTTCAGTATGTTTCTGCATAATTCTTGTTTCAAGATCCCTATGGAGCTTCTGAACTGTTCTTGCGTGCTTTTTTATGTGTTGTTGCATGGTGATGTTGTCTAAAGTATGAGGTTGACCTTGTCGTACTGCTTCCAGAGCAGCTTCCGTATGTAGATGGCGTAACTTCAGTAATCTTCCTTCGTAATGATGAAGTTCCTCCTAAACAATGCAATGAATATGTAAGATTCCTTGTACTATATGCATAACAAAAACTGTATTAAACATTACAGCATTCGATATATTGTCACCTTCAGAGAAGCACGTTCTTCGGGAGAGAATGGAGCCTCTAGCACAAACCTCCACAACCCTTGCACTTTGGGTTCTATGAACTGTTTGTCATTCGGACCTTTAGCGGTTAATCTACCCAATCGGTCGAATCCATCCCGGATGCCCAAGTGTTTCTCTCTAAAATTATGTAGTTAGAATAGTTATTATCACTGGTACTAATATTATTACATACCTAAGTAGTGCTGCCTTTCCTAAGTAATCCAATTTCTGTCCAGGAACATCGTTGGTTATTTCTTCTTCCTTTTCTATGACATTCCAGATCTTTGGCTTGAGATGAAGACTATCTTTAAAATAATTTAAATATAAAATGTATTGTATTGGACAAGAATCACGAGTCTGTTATGTATTTATTAACTATTCTAATGTTTAATATTTATTAACTGTAACATTAAATTAGAATGTATAGATACACGAATGATAAGTATTCCCATATCGAACTAACTGAACTTTCATGACCAGATTACTAACTTTCATGTATGTCTGAATCCCCAGCTTCTACATCTTTCAAAAGACTCATGTACTCATCTATTTTATCTTGGTGATGCTGGAATTCTTCTTTTAAAGTCTGTAGTTCCTCATCTAAGGAAAATAAACCTTTTACATTCACATTTCAAACACTTTGTTTATAGATTAAAAAATATACTCACGTGTAAAACCACCCATTTCAGCCTTGACCCACAATTTATTCAACCTTTTGTCTTGAAACACATCTTTGGCAATATAATTACTACCATCGTTCAATGCTTTATGTGTCTTCAATAATTCTGGATTCTCTGTCTCATTAAAGTGCTCCAATAATCCATATGTACTCATAATACCTTCGCACAAAAAAAATGTTATAAATCCAACATACGGATCTTTAGTCAACAATTATTATTGAGACATGACAAATGTCTTGATAAACCTACATTGTGTACTTTTAATTCATATCTAACAAAATGAGACAAGAATAAAAAATAACATTGGAATCATAATGTACATGCATAATTGGTATTGTATATTATATCATATGAAATTGATATCAAATATATGAATTTGATTTTCTGTAATGTGAACAAAATATTGTGCAAACTTTTGTAATGGCCCAATACTTCCATCTCACAGGAACTTATATAGTATGCAACAAAGGTAATAAATGGGAATTATTTAACTATTTTTTTTTACTCACCAATAAGTTTCTTTCTTAAACGTGCTTCTTCTTCGCCATTTGGATCTTTTTCTTCGGCCTTAAAATGCTTGTAAGCAATTTCTTCCTTATCGTGGAGTTTTAAATCACTGAATATTGACTGGAGTTTAGTATCAGTCAAACGCTAGCAGAAAATCCATTTATGAATAATTTTGTCGGACGTACAGAATTATATATAGGTATATTAAAAATTAATAGATACTCACGTTTTTCGCTTTGATCCATACTATATTTAATTTTGCCATCCGAAACGGTTTATCCAACTCACGAAGCGAGGTTGGAAATTTCAGGGGATCCTCATATTTCGGCTCATTTGCATCGGCGGAATATTTATTGAGAGCTACGCTCGTATGAAACAATAAAATACATAAACTCACTGCCAAACAAGGATTAATTAAAAATGCCATTACTCTACGTTACTCCTATCACAGACTAGGTAAATGTTGGTATACACTGGTATACATGTCTCTGGTAGAGGAATCTGCAATTCATTACTCACATATATCTATCGTATGTCCCTAGGAATAAAAATTGCGGCGACAAACTTATGTGAAACCATTAAAAAGCTTTGAAGATTCTACGGAAGATCTACAAGTTACAGAAGAGAGAATTATTTGCCATGGATAAATTACAATATTTTATAAGTTTTAATAATTTGAAAATACACATTTTACAATAGTATTTGAATAAATTTCAGAACAATTACCTTAAATACTACTTATATATATATATATATTTAAGGCAATTGTTCTGAAATTTATTCAAATACTATTGTAAAATGTGTATTTTCATCAAATTTTTTCAATAAAAAACAGTCAAATCATACATATGCGTTATTCATTAATCCCGACACCATCACCATATCCTACGACTAATGAATGAATTCAACCGCGTACAAATCCCAAACTATTTCCTAAAATGTGTTATTCCTAAATGGTGTTGGGTCGGGGGTTATTGAAATTCATGCCAAATTAACATTCGACTTAACATTTATATCAGTAGATAAAATAAATTTATCAAGTGACGGGAGGCGCTTCCCCTACGCTAGTTTTTCCCCTACTGGAAGCCTTGGTTGCTCGTGAGGGTAACTGGACTCTGGACCCCGTCAAACACACCTCGTTTACTTCATATTTGAACAGGTCTCACGGCGTTGTATGGACAGCATTCGTCTTGACAAAGCATTCGACGTGTAGCTTAAAGAACGTCGATTAATTCCCTGTCAGTGGCAATAACAATAAACGACCAGAACACTGTTAAAATCGCATTTCTTTACAACGGTTGACACTGTATCTCGTCATGTGTACCCCGTTTAGATTACTTTCGACAGCTCTTACACCGTTATACGGATAGCTTTCGTTCAGATAAAGCATTCAATTTGTAGCTGAAAGTATATAGATTAATCCGCTGTTATTGAGAATAGCAATAAACGACCAGAACACTGTTAAAATCGCATTTAATCGCGGAGTACCACTTTTTTTTTAACGGTGGCGCCACCCGTGGCAATTCGCTCAAACCGCTAGCCAAATCATACCGACAGGTGAGTGTGAATTCCTAGTGATGGAAAAATGCGAATATCTCAGTAATTAGGCGCTGAAAATGAACACTGGTAGTCTCAAATTGTTCCTCAGGACTTAATGCATGAACCCAATAGTGCAAAACCATAGAATTAGTCAAATTAATTATGCCTGTAATACCGCAGCTACCTCATGGAGCGGCAACCCTAATTCAATCGCATTTACACCGCTGAACGGGCATCATTTTTCGTCGTCATGCATTAGATTCGAAGTTTAAAGAACGTACATTAGTACTTTCTAGCGGCTGGATACCAGTAATTATAAAAACATTGTTAAAATCACAATTGTTTGTAACGATCTCGTCATGTGTACCCCGTTCAGATCACTATGGACAACTCTTCCAACGTTATGCTGACAGCATTCGTCTTGACCAAGCACTCGGCTTGTAGCTGAAAGAACGTAGATTAATCTTCTGTTAGTGGCAATAACAATAAACGACCAGAACACTGTTAAAATCTCATTTGTTTGCAACGGTTGACACTCTATCTCGCAACGCAAACCCCGTTTAGTTCACTTTGAATAGCTATTCCAACGTTATATGGACGGGTTACGTCTTGATCAAGCATTCAGTTTCAAGCTCAAAGAACGTAGATTAATCCCCTGTCATTGAAAATAACAATAAACAACCAGAACACTGTTAAAATTGCATTTAATCGCGGAATACCACTATTTTTTTGACCGGTGGCGCCATCCGTGGCAAATTGCTGAAACTGCTAGCCATATAATTGGCTAGCAGTTTCAGCTATTCACCACGGATGGCGCCACCGGTCAAAAAAGTATTGCTATTCCGCGATTAAATGCGATTTTAACAGTGTTCTGGTCGCTTATTGTTATTATCAATCACAGTGGATTAATCTACGTACTTTCAGCTACAAATTGAGTGCTTCGGCTAAACGAAAGCTGTCTGTATAACGGTGTACGAGCTGTCCAAAGTGAACTAACCGGGGTACGCATGACGAGTACACTGTCAACCGTTGCAAATAAAGTGTGATTTTAACAGTGTTCTGGTCGTTTATTGTTATTGCCACTGACAGGAGATTAATCTACGTTCTTCCAGCTACAAGTTGAGTGCTTGACCAAGACGAATTAGCTGTTATAGGGTACTAATCTACATTCTTTAAACTTCGAATGTAATGCATGACGAAGAAAAGTGTTGCCTGTTTAGTGGTTATGTAATTGCAGCAGTTTTCGATCGAATTTACACTGCTAAAAGACCATCAGTTTTCCTCGTCATGGATTACATTCGAAGTTTAAAAAACGCAGCTTACTACTCTCTGGCAGATGGGAACCAGTAATTACAAGAACATTGTTAAAATCTCAATTGTTTACAACGGTTGACACTCTATCTCGCGATGTGTACCCCGTTTAGTTCATTTTAAATAGCTCTTCCAACGTTCTATGGACAAGTTACGTCTTGATCAAGCATTCAATTTGAAGCTAAAAGAACGTAGATTAATCTACTGTCATTGATAATAACAATAAACGACCAGAACACTGTTAAAATCGCATTTAATCGCGGAATACCACTATACTTTCGACCGGTGGCGCCATCCGTGGCGAATCACTGAAACTGTTAGCCATATAATTGGTTAGCAGTTTCACCGATTCGCCACGGATGGCGCCACCGTTCAAAAAAATAGTGGTACTCCGCGATTAAATGCGATTTTAACAGTGTTCCGGCCGTTTATTGTTATTATCAATAACAGTGGATTAATCTACGTACTTTCAGCTACAA